CCCTTTTGAAAGATAAGGCATGCTTATAGCAGAGTAGCTCTATGGTCCCATATGGTCTCATATATCACAAAAGTCCAATAGCCTTCCTTCATTCTGCCGTTCCCCCTTCATTTTGGTCCTCTTTAGTCCCAGCTGGCAGTGTTTCTTCTGGTATTACTCCTGGCTCTGCTGAGATGGCTGATGAAGCTCATGAGTTGTACTCAAGATCTATCAAACAGTTGTTCAGCCATACCATTAGTGTTTCTTTGAGAACAAGCTTTCTCATCTTTTGCAATATGGATAGGCTAAGAATTTTCCAACCTCCAGTTTTTAATTCCTTTTTACTTAACAGTTTCTTCTTTGGTATATCGCTCTCCTCTTCCATTTTACTGAAAGCAATAGGAAGGACCCAGACCACAGCTTCCATATCCAATTTTATCACTCATAAGTTCTACCTTCTACAAAACACTAGGACACAATTCAGCCAAGTTCTTTGGCACTTTATAACAAAGATCATTTTCCTCCAGTTTCTAGTAACCTGTTCCTCATTTACTCTGAGACCTCACTGAAAGAGCCTTTAACATCTATATTTCTACCAACATTCTGTTCATGATTATTTATGTATTTCAGTAAGAAAATGGATGCTTGGTCTCCATCTCTCACTTTTTTCTTTCTGAGCCCTCAACAGAATTGCCTTAAATGTCTTTGTCTACCAATAGTTCCTTCACAGAAATCTTGGCTTTTTCTAGCACATAACTGAAAACTCTCTCAGCCTCCACCCATCACAACTCCAAAGCCACATCCACATTTTTAGGTATTTCTCACAGCAGCACTCCACTCCTAGTACCAAAATTTGTATCACTTAGCATGCTCCAGAGAAACAATCTATTGGATATATACGTTTATAAAGATATTTGTTATAAGGAAGGGACTCATGCAATTATGGAAGCTGAGAAGTCTCAAGATCTGTAGTTGAGAGACACCCAAGAAAGCTGATGGTGCAAATTGCAGTCTGAAAGCTGGCAAATTCAAGACCCAAGAGCCAATGCTTCAGTTAATTCCAAAGGCAGGAAAAACAAAACAAAAACAAAAACAAAAACAAAAAACAAAAAAACAATGTCCCAGCTACAGGCAGTCAAGCAGTGGAACCTCCCTCTTACTGAGGGAAGATCAGCTTTTTTATTCCTTTCAAGCCTTCAACTGATTAGGGCCACTCACATTAGGAAGAGCAATCTGCTTTACCTAAATGTTAATCTCATCCAAAAACAGCCTCACAGACACACCCAGAATAATATATGGCCAAATATCTGGGCACCGTGTGGACTAGTTGACCAGATAAAATTAATCCTTACACTATCTTCTGGGCTCTGGAGTACAAGATGAACAAACTTTTTGTAGAGTTTATGTCCTATGAGGGGTCACATAAATAAATAATTTCAAATACTGCCAAGTGCTATGAGTGTTGACCAATAAAATAGATGAAGTGTATGGAAGGAGGTGGGGGTGGGCAGGCATTTAACCTTATAGGAAGTAGAGAAGGTCTAAAAGTTTCTGAGCTCAAGAATGAAATTGGAGTTATGCTTTGGAAAGAGTAATCTAGTCACTAGGTGCAGAGTAACACATAGAAGAGAGGTTCTGGAAGCTGGGAACCTAATACAGCATTCAGAAAAGATAAAATAGAGAAAAGAGGGTCTGTGGACTCACTCAAGGCTTGAACACCAATCAAGCAGCTATCTACCAATTCTACAAATAATAAAGTCTTTCAGGTAGCAATGACAATTAAGGGCATAGAATTATACAATTTTAAAGCTATGAGGAGCCTTAGAAATGATCTGATCTGGGGCACCTGCGTGGCTCAGTCAGTTAAGTGACCGACTCTTGATAATGGCTCAGGCTGTGCTCTCACTGTCTTGAGATCCAGCTGCTTAGAGCCCCAGATAGGGGTCCCCACGGGCTGAGTGCGGAACCGACTTAGGATTCTCTCTCTTCCTCTCTCTCTGCCCCTCCCCCACTCATGCTTTCTCTCTCAAAAATAATAAACATTTTAAAAAAAGAAATCATCGAATCCACTGGTCACATCGGTGCTCACAGTCTCACACAGACACACACACACACACACACACACACACACACACACACACACAGCTCAGTAGTATTAAAATCTAGAATGAGAACTCGGGTCTTGCGACACCTGGCTGGCTCAGGCAGTAGAGGATGCAACTCTTGATGTCACAATCATGGGTTCAAGCCCCATGTTGGGTATAGAGCCTACCTAAAACAAAACAAAACTCAGGTCTTTTGCATCCCAGTCCATTAGATGTTCTACCTCATTCAACTGACTCCTAAGATACAGACCAGAGAAGAGATAAAGAAATCTTCTATTGAGTTCCATGAATCTAGCAAGAGAAAGAAAATGTCTGTGTTCACATACACAAAACTTCAGTTTTCTTAGAAACAATTTTACTTCTCTCCTTTCAAATTTTAGAAATAGAAAATTAAGCAGTGAATGTCTGCTATTTTGCAACAAACAAGATACGAAGAAGACCTTAAATATTATCTAGTTAAATCTTTCATCTAAAGGTGTGAGAGGTGTGTTTTCGCTATTTCACAGCTTAGAAATTTATGCATCAGGTCAATAAGGTCACAGAACTAGTGACATGCAGTTCTATATTATAATCAATTAGGAAATGATAGAGAAAATGGGAAAAAAGATGAATAGGCTAGGGAATGAAAATGTTACGTTTAACAAATCACAAAAGAAACAAGAACAAATTCATTTACTGATGACAACCTTAAAAATCAAACCAACAAAAGCAGCCCTTTAGATAAATATTAAAGTGTTTCAAGAAACTCTAACACTGATGTCTTTGGAAAGGGGACCTGGGTGTCTGGGGACAGGGAGATTTTTCACAGTAAAACTTTTATAACTTGTATTGCAACCATAACAATGTTACCTATTTTGATAAATAAGTAACAGCTAAAAATAAAAACCTTCAAATGACTTAGTTCCTGCCAATAGTAATTACTAGCATTCTACAATCCCCCGAGGCTGCTGAAAAATGGAAATTTCAAGAAAGAAAAATCCTAATTCTATTCTGAAGAGGCAAGGGTGAAATTACATTAAGGGTCAGAAGACTTTCCTTTGAGGTTTGGGAATCAAGAAGGAAGAGGACTACCTACCCCAACCACTATTTGATCAACTCAATTCTATTGCTATTATTTTTAAAATTTTTTAACGTTTATTTATTTTTGTGACAGAGACAGAGCATGAATGGGGAGGGTCAGAGAGAGAGGGAGACACAGAATCCAAAGCAGGCTCCAGGCTCTGAGCTGTCAGCACAGAGCCCCACGCGGGGCTCCAACTCAGGGACCGTGAGATCCTGACCTAAGCCGAAGTCGGATGCCCAACTGACTGAGCCACCCAGGCGCCCCAATTGCTATTATTTTTAGCTCATCTTTTAGTCTGTTACTAAGGAATCCCTTTACCTGAAAGCAATTTACTAACTGGAATCTACATGAAGCGGGAGAAAAGCAATGATCCTGAAACATTCAAATCAGCCCATTCTAATTTAATCCGTCTATTTTGGTGCCACTTACTACATTGTATTTCAATCTTTATGTAGCTCTACTGTCATGTTGAAAATTCTGTTGTGCCCCAAAGCAAAATGATCATTTCTAAATTTTTAATATAAGGGTTTGCAGACCAGTGTATTTGAAATAGGGAGTCATAGCTCTGAATTGATTCTCTAGTAATACCTGCCTTTTCCAATTGAAAATACTATGACTTCCGAAAAATTCCTTGCAAGGGAAATGCTTGTATTTTAAGATGTCTGGTCCAGAGCACGGGGAAAGGACTTGACAAAGCTATTCGATATATGAAAGCTATGGATTGACATTTCGGTTTAGGAATGAAGCAAGAAATCTGAGACAGCTAGTGCAAAACACCCAAGGCAGCGGGCGGATCAAAGCACTGCGGAGGGCGCGGGTGCTCCAGGGATTGCGATGTGGGCTGGTGTGTCAGGAGAAATCCAGCACAAGGCACAAATATGTACTGGAAAGCCGCTAGTAGGTGGGAACTCTGGGTCTTCGCATTTCTACCCATTCAGTTCCCGTACATCATCATCGCTTTCGTAACTGGTGCAGACGGTGAACCATAGGGACTCAAGCCGTTTTGGCCGAAGCAAATTTAGATTTACCCGTTTCCCCCAACTCCGATTTCTGCTATCTGCCCCCAATCTAAATGCCTCCAAACTAAAATCTGGCCATAGTAGAAATAAAAGAATCAGTGACACAACAGGCTACCTATAGCTTTGAGCTCTTCTTTTATACACCTTTACAAGTCCTTCTAATCCACTGGCTTCACAGACATGAAGACATAAAACCAAGCTACAGGACCTGAGAATCTAAGAAGCGCCTACGTGGCTGAAACGGGAAAAGGAGGCCCAAATTCTACCAATAAATTGGGCTATTTGGGCTACGCCCCGCCCACTGCTCCTGCCAGCCAATAACATTCACAACTCTTCAGCCACTCCCGCCCATTTATGGCTGCTGCAAATCCTCCACTGACCGCCTGCGCACTGTAGATCCGACTTATATGCGCCCCTCCTCCGCTTCTCAAGATAAGAGGACCCTCTGAAGACGGAGAGGACGACACTGGCTACCACTGGAGGCCGAAAACTCCAGAAGCTAGTGTCACAAACAGCGAGGAGGCTTAAAGAAAGAGAAGGAGCCACTTAAGACGACTCTCTCCCGCCCTGTTCCCCCTAACCCGGAAGTAATTCTCCCCTATTTCCGTCCCCGCCTACGGTTAAGACGGGAGGAGAAGGACGGTAGGGTCTGGCCCGGCATGCCCTGGGCTTCCGGTGACCTCTGGCCCTTTTCTGTCGTCCGCTCTTGCTTCCCAGCGTGCTCGCTCGCTCGCTCATTGCCTCCGTTCCCTCCTTCTGGTCTTCCTTCGCACGCTACCTGGTGACTGAGGCGCCCGCGACCAGCAGTGAGGCGGTGGCGGAGGACACTCAGTCATGGCCGCCTCTAAGCCTGTGGAGGCGGCGGTGGTCGCAGCGGCTGCGCCTAGCTCCGGGAGTGGGGTGGGCGGCGGCGGTGCGACTGCAGGCCCCGGCACTGGGGGCCTGCCGCGATGGCAGCTGGCGCTGGCAGTCGGGGCTCCCCTGCTGCTAGGTGCAGGTGCCATGTACCTGTGGAGCAGGCAGCGGCGGCGCCGGGAGGCTGGGGGCCGAGGAGACGCCGGCGGTTTAAAGCGCAACAGCGAGCGGAAGACCCCGGAGGGTAGGGCCAGTCCGGCCCCAGGCAGCGGACATCCCGACGGCTCCGGTGCTCACCTGGAAATGGTGAGAAGTAGCCCTGGGCCGTGGAGGTGGAACCCAGCGGGTGCAGCCTTTTCTTGACGAGTTGTGCAGGTCAGGGGGCTTCCCGTCAGACGAAAGCTGCCTGGAAGCACATGAGGTTAGGGACGCAGATTTCTGGATGCTTTTGTAGGGATTGGAATAGCCCGAGGGCACAGGTTAGCGGCCTTCTTTGACAGTTTCCTTTTAGTTTCAGAAAAACACATATGTGGGGGTTTTTTTGTTGGTTTTTGTTTTTTCTGAGTGACACAGCATTTATCTCTGGTGTTTTGGGTACGGGGGATATTTGCAAATGTGATGATTGTGTTTAACTAATGAGGGAAGCCAAATTCCATGAATGATTAGTACATTGTGGTTGATAGGAATTGTGATTTCCAAGGCCTAGAATTTGATAGATAATAACCTTTAATAATGAGCCACCCCGTTATTTGAAGTCTTAGGGTATGGGATGGGTAAATACAGTGACTGTTGGTTGGCAAAGCGAAATGGTGTTGAGTAGCATTTGCTTTTTTATCTATGGGAATGAGTTTTTAAACTTTCTGGGTAGAAGCATCTTAAATTCGTTTTTAAATTTTACGTGAAAAATTACCAGACCAAGCCTGGCCTGCGTGATAAAGGTTCTTTGATGTCAGGCCACGCATCAGAGTATCTGCTGAACTACTTTGTATGGTTTTGTTGAACAGACTGTTAAATCCTTTTGGTATCTGACAGCTGTGGGCAATTGACCTGGCTACATTTAACAATACTGGGATAGGGTAGGGTGGAGGATTTTATCTGCCTCTCAGATTGTACAGTGGTAATTCCAGAGTAAATCAGAGTTCATTGAAACCTTTGATCAAAAAACTCCCAGTTAAATACATTTGCAAGTCATTTCCACCTTACATTATTCAGGTTAAAGACATGGTTTTGCTAAGTAGTCAAATAAGCTTTAAAGGAAGTTTTATGTGGGAGTGAACTACCATAGCTTCATGCCTAATATATGTCAGACATTGTGCTAGGCCATGAAGAGAGCCAGAGACAGTCTTTGCAATGGCAGAGTAAAACATTGCCCCCTCACCCCAGCTTTTTTTTTTTTTTTTTTTTTTTTTAATGTAGAAAAATGCGTGTAGTAAGCTGGAAGAACCTATGGACTGTGAGAACTAGGAAATCTGCACTCTATGGTGGGCTCTCCAGCATAGTTACCTTGGGAAAGTCATTTGATCCCTCTGATCTTAATGTCATCCCATACAATAAGAGAATTAAAATACTCTCTTTCAGTCTCATTTTTTCCAGCCCTGAAAATTGGTGATTCTGAATGCTAATGACAAATCTGAAATTCTCTGGTCATTTTTATTTCATTTGTTAGTTTAATCACGGAAGAATAATGAATGAATGAGAAATATATAAAAGCTTTTAGTTCTATAATCACTAAAAAAAAATAATTCTTACACATGAAACTTTTTGACATTTTTTTGTAGTTTCAAAAACTTCTCTGTCTCACTCATTTGGTGTTTGAATTTAGTACACCATTGGTATAGAATTTAGCAAACTGTCTTACAGATTTTAGATTTTCTTGAGTCCATTTTTAGTTTTTCAGCATTGCCTGGGATAACAGGGTGATGATTTTTAAATTTTTGGAGTGTTTTGTCATTTTATCAGAATAATTTTTTATTAATTCACTGCTGCTAAAAATTAGATTTTAAGATTGACTTCTTTGTGTAACTTGAACTGCTCTAAAATGATTTATTATTTTTGACCTTAAACTGAGCAAAAGACACATATGGTTGTTCACCTTGTGGAATTTGTGGGCTTATATTCTTGCTTTGAATTACTAAATGATTCTTCACTAAAGCAACAGTAGGAATGTCTTTTCCATTTTTGTAAAGGAAATTTGTGTTTTTACTGATGGACCAATAAATACTGAAAGACTATTTTTTGTCTTTTTTATAGTCTGGTCCTTAGAATTATTATTAGATTTATCTAAATATAACTGACCACTAGTTATAATTTATTTATTATCTGTGGTTGGAGAAATTGCTTTATATTTGAATAGCACCTTTCAGTTGGCAACCTTAGTGGGTTTTGTAAATAAGGAAGTCATTTGTTTCAACTGATGGAAAAACTGGCAGAATCCTGATGCTGTGTTCTTTCTCCACCTGAGCAATAGCTATAATTTTTAAGGGAATGAAGGAATGGACAAATACTGTCTGTTCAAGGTTCAGTGAATAAAAGAGAAAATCATTGTTTTTTGTCTGTTGGCCTATGTTTGCCTTAATGTAAAATGAACTAATAAAACTGTCTGGCTTGAGATTTTTGTGTACAATGTAGACTGTATCCAGTTATCTTTTTTTCTGGAATAAACACCAGAAAGTAAAAGCAGAAATTCATATTTCTGTTTAATTAATGGGGATTTTAGGATTTCACTAAAGAAAGGCATCTAATTACAGTTGATAGCATCTGACATTGAAATACTTCAAGTATTAAATCATGTTCCATTTGGGGGCACTGGAAAACCTACCACAAGGTGCTATTTTGCTTCAGTAATGTTTTTAAAAAGACGAAGAATTACAGATTTCCAAAGTTGGATAGATTCTTTGAAGATCATCTTGTCCATATGGCTTCTCAATCTCTGAGTCTCTGAGGTATCAACAAGGGACTACCACACCCACATATATACCAAGTATGGTATTCTGGCTGCACAGATGTCTTAAGTATTTTTTTTTTTTCAAACAGGATTTTTTGAAAGGTGCATTTATTTAAAACTTTGATTGGCTATAGTAGCGTTCTATCCTGTTGTTTTTTAATTTGATAAAAAAAATAGTTATTCTGGTGTTCAAGCTTTTTTAATGTTACACAGTAGTTATCCCACATGAAATGGTTAGAAACCACTAATCTAAGTCAGCCCTCTAGAATGGGAAAGGAGAAATGTACTTAAGCATTTTAATTAGGAGAGCAAAGACTGAGTGATCTGGTGTTTCCAGTCATCTTTGAAATGAAGTAATTCTCTCCCCTCAAATGATCTGTTTCTAGTCATTTTTTAAAAATCAGGGTCACTGGGGCACCTGGGTGGCTCAGTTAAGCATCTGACTCTTAGTATTGGCTCAGGTCGTCATCTCATGGTTTATGGGATCAAGCCCCACATCAGGCTCTGTGCTGACAGCACGGAGTCTGCTTGGGATTCTCTCTCTCCCTCTCTCTGCTCCTCCCCCACTTGTTCACTCTCAAAATAAATAAACTTTAAAGAAAAACCAGGGTCACCAGTGACATTTCTATGTAACTAAGTACAGTGAACACCTTTCATTCTTTATCTTAACTTGATCCTTGGCAGTATTTTACATTGTCTTCTCTTAATTTCATAACTTTTCCTGTGGCTTCTGACACATTGTATTCTGATTTCCTTTGCCTTTTAAAAAATTCCTGATACCTCCCTTGATTGTTCTTGGTCTCCTTTCCAGGCTCTTTTCTCTACCTCTTCCTTTTGGTGACCTTCATGGTTCTATCATAAGCATTCTCTTACTTTCCACACCTTCACTGGATGCTTGCTTGCTGTGCAGGAACTTATCACATATACTGATAGCTTCCTAATTTCTTGTGTATAGCCTACACCTCTCAAGAGGCCCAAATTTAAGGGGGAATTCTCACTTCATTACCTTACAGGTATTTCACATCCAGACTCCTTCCTGTTTTTCTTGAGAATACCAACTAATGTGCCTCATCAGACTACTTTCCTAAGCCAGAGACTTGGATATCATCCTTGACTTTTAACTATTGGCATATTCTCCACATCTAATCCAGAAAAACATCCAGAAGAGTTTTAAGCCTGACTGCTACATTCCCACGGCCATTATTTCTCAACTGAATAACTGCTACTCTCATTGTCTTCCTTGAATCCATTTGTCACTACCGGAATAAAATCCTGACAGTTATGTGCTTAAAATCATTAAGTGGTGTTCTGTTCATTGCCCAACAGATAAAGTTCAAACTCATCATCATTTAAGATCCTCCATGATCTTGATCCTGTTTACCTCTTCAACTTTATCTCTTGACATTTCCTCTTATTTCTTGGCTTTGGATATTCTGTGAACACTGCCTAATACTCTACCTTCTCATCCTTCAAGTCACAACATGTAGATCATTTAACCTTTTCTGAACCCTTTATCTGGGCATAGGTTATGTGATTACATAACACTGAACTTTTCCCTTCCATAGTACTTACCACGTGGTACTAGAGTTGCTTATTCATATCTTTCCTACTATACTCTTGAATATGTGAAGGCTGGGACTGGCTCTATCTCACTATTCTCAGAACCTAATAAATGCCTTGTATAAAGCAGGTGTTGAGTCAGTGTACCAATGAAGCTTCATTCTTTGACATGTGTGTGTGTGTGTCCACATCTCCACAAGTTGAATATTTTTTCAGAATTCAGCTTTTCATTTTTATTCCACCAGTCAACCTAGAACTTGGTGTAACAGTCAAACCTTACTTAGACATTCTTTTTATAAATCACTTGATTTTGTATGAACTACAACCATAATCCTGCAGAACCTGCATTCTTACAAATGAATTCTTAGGTAAAGAGTGTTCTGTATTATGATTCAGTGGGTGGGGTTGGTTGTAGATTTTTGAAATATTGGGATATAATACGGGAAAGGACTTATTATCTCAGGTGTTATTCATATAATAGGTTTTATTCATATGAAAGTAATATTTGGTTGATAAAAGTATTTTTAAAAGACTTTCTCATGCTATAAGTTTTCCACAGTTGATTGCTACTTCTGTTAAGCTGGGATTCGAATTTTTATTT